CAAGCAGAGCAAGAGATGCCAACCGTGAGGTTGGGCCTCCTGCACATCGGCCTCACATCCTGATGATCGTAGCGGATGACCTGGGTTGGGCCAACCTTGGCTCGCGAAGGACTGAGTCTAGTGGTTTTAAGTTCTGCTGTTTGGCCAAGCAACAGGACGGCGGAGACTGCGGAAGAGGCTCAGGGATGGGCCGAGACCCATACGCCGACTCTCGGCTGGTTCGCGTCTTGAGCTCGGGGCAACTCCGCTGTCCAGTCCCAGGAGTCGTCCTGGGCTTCTGCAGCCAAGGAACCTGGACGCACTACGAAGCGAGGGCATCTCGCTGGAGCGGCACTATGCCACATCCAGTTCGCCCCCTTCAAGATCTGGGCCAAGAACAAGGGCTGTGTGTTGTGTGCCAATTGACCGCCAATACCTCGAAGTGGAATGCTTCAAGCAGGCTCTAAGGAGGCTTTAGCAATTTGAGCATCGAGCACAGCCAGGTGCTCCCTGTGGAGTGGCCGCTTGCCCACACATGTCACGCACGGGGATTTGTCGGTGAACCACCAGATGCTGTGGAACAAGAGCCTCGGCAAGATGAGACTTGTGAAGGTTTGAGTCAGACTTCCATGAAGCAAGAGGCTTGAGTCTTTCAGTGGGAGTCCTCCCGAAGAATGGCCCAGGAAAGACAACAACTCTGGCTTCGATGGGATACCACGCGCGATGACTGGTTTGGGCACCAAAATGAAGCAAGCAGGTTACGAAACTCACTTCATCGGCAAGTGGGATGCTGGCTGGGCTACTCCGGAGCATACACCACTTGGCCGGGGTTTTGACTCTTTCCTGGGGTTCTTGCAGGCTGAGAACGACTACTGGTCCAAAGATAGAGGGCCGTTGAAGTATCTCTTGGACGTGTGTTTGAACAAGTTTCGTGATTTCGTGCTTTTCAATGCCACTTACCGCGGAGGGGTGACTGGTTCGATCGCCACAGAGCTGGGTTGCAACGCCACGCTCGTTCAGGACAAGCCCTTCACCGCTTTAGGCTGTGACATGGACAATCGCAGCAAGTGTCTACCGGACAGTTGCTATGAAGAGGCCATGTTTCTGCAGCATGCCAAGCAGATTTTGCGGAAGGTTGACACGAACCGTTCCAAGCCGCTCTTCCTCACCTTTGCACATCATTTGCCTCATGCCCCCATGCAAGTGCCGCACTCCTTCCTGCAGAAGCTCCTGGGATGCTTAGGTGTTATTTAAGCTACGTTTACATCTTGTTCCGCTGTGCTGAGAAGAGTTAGACCGCAGGAGGTTCAGATGGAGCCTGTAAAAAAAGTGCACCATGTTCTGTGGGTCGTTAGGGCGTTCATGCTCTTGGCGGGGAGTGGGAGCGGGTGATGTTTGGGGGCAGTTTGATTAACGCAATAGGCTGGACGAGTTGGTGTCTGCGACTGGCGTGCCCCGAATCGTTCCGTGGACGGCCA